GGGGGGGGGGGGGGCTAGCCCCTTCATCCTGCAGTTGGTTACAAAATGACAGATATTCATGACAAAAGAATACAAAAGGAAAAAAAACAAAACAAAAAAAAACAAAACCACAAGAAGATGCTTTCAGAAAAGCACGTGGCTGGCTGAGCAGGAAAGCAGGGTCAGCGTTTGTGCCCCAGCAAGGGAGAAGCAGAAGGGATGTAGAGACAAGGCAGCCATCGAGCGTCCCACCACAGAGGGGGCTGAGGGGGGCCCAGGGCCAGCTCAGCCATGGGGCAAGGACGGCTCCAGCCCTTGTGCAAGTCTGGGATGGCTCACGATGCCCTGTTTGGCACAGTTAGAGCCAACACAGGGGCTTGGGAGATGCAAAGCCCCTCCTCAGGGCAGCCCAGGTGCCACCTTTGCTTCTCCTCTGGGACACAGCGAGGGAGGAGTGTGGCTGGGGGAGCTGCTGCTCTCTGCCCACCTTGGGGGGGACACACTCAGCCCAGGCAGGGCAGGTTGGGAACACCCTGACTGCCCATTCATTATTAGCTGACCCGTACCTGTGAGTGATTTGAGCTCCTCATCCTCACCTGGGCGAGAGCACCTCCATGGAGACGTGCAAAGAGTCTGGCCTGCAAACGGTGAGGTGGCTACAGAAATCCAGAGGTGGATCCCATACGGCAGGACACGTGCTCCTCTCCCGGCCACACTCAAGCTCGGTGTCCCCAAATGTCCCAAGCAGGGCAGAGAGCACCCATCACGCCCGGGTCGCCACAGACCAGCCACACGCAGAGACAGGCTGTGCTGCAAAGCCATCCCCTATGCACAGCCAAGCCACACGGAGCAGGAGCTGCTGCCTCGTGTCACACAGAGCAAGGGAAGCACGTGGGGAAAAGTCAGCACCGTGCCAGGGGAGTGAGTACATGCTGCCAGCGCACAGATCCAGCAGCCCAAGGCTGAAGCTGCTGCTACTGCCTTTTTCTGGGGCCCTGGGCTGGGCTCGTGCCTGGTCAGACAGCTGCCACCCTTTGCTGGGGCCCTGGGCTGGGCTCGTGCCTGGTCAGACAGAAAGCAAGAGGAAAGAGTAAATAATGGGGGGTCTTGAAGCTCCTTTCTCAACTTTATTTGGCTTTGACTCCGCACAGAGCCATAGCGTAGCGTACTCTAGCCTTCAGAGAGGGGTGCAGGAACCCCCCCCGAACACACCGTGGTTTGGGCTCAGCCCCCATCTCCTGTGCCTTGTGCCCTGCCCCTGACAGGTCGCTGGGGCGTCTGGCACAAAGACCCTGAAGAATAGAGAAAGCCCCTGCCCCGCGGTGTCCTCGGAGGCTCATAGATCGCTGCTGCAGTCACGGCACAGGATCTCATCGTTGTCGGGGATGAAGCCTTTCCCAACCAGAGAGGTGTTGCAGCGGGCGCAGTTGAAGCAGTTGTGGTGCCAGTGACGGTCCTCAAAGGAGACGTATTTCCCACCACCAAAGCCTACGGGGGGGACAGGACACAACGTTAGACCCGCTGGAGAAACAGGGACAAGCTTCCTGCACTGACCAAGTCTCGGGCTGTTCATCTCCGAGTCAGCTCTTCACGTGCTGCCCTGGGGCACCAAACACCCCCCAGTATCGAATGCATCTAAAATTGAATTTCCACTCTTTGAGGGGGGGAAGAGAGGAGCAGGGAGTGGAGCTGCACCATCACAGCGAGGGATGGGGCTGCAGGGAGCTCCTGGCAGCACTGTCTGGAGTAGCTCCTTCCAAGGACAATGCGAGTGACATCCTGGGAAGAGCCTCCCTGCCACCAGCCCAGGGCCAGGCTCCTGCAGAGGCTCTGTGGGCAGTTTCCTTCCTCTGCGGACCTGCAGGCTGTGACCCCCTTCTCCCCGGGGCTGTGACAAACTGATAAGGGCCGGAGGGGAAGCGGGGTGCCCCAGAGCTGCCCCGTCCTCAGCCAGAGTCAACTCTGAGTCAGCAGCTGATTCACGGCTTTGCTGCCTCCCCAGCAGCCCAAGACGGAGCTGCAAAGGGAAAGGTCAAGTGGGGGAGGACAGGAAGGAGGCCAGACCCTTCTCAGGGGTTTCTGCAGGACAGGAGCCCCTGCTTCCCCTCTCTTCGGCAGGACCAGACTCCCTCCAGCAGTTGCTGCTCCAGCAGCAGGCTTTCCCTGTCTGTGAGCCATCTTTCCACCAAGCAAGGCAAGCTCGAGACACGAGGTCACACTGCGAGGGGGCACTTTGCCTTTACCCCTGGGCAGAGGGAATTCCTCCCGAGGGGCACAGTTCACCACTTTGAAAAATGCAGATGAAGGGACATAAGTGGCTTTAGGACCACTGCAGGAGAGATCCTCCCTCATGGGGGCTCCTTGGAAAGTGGCTGCAGTTGGTTTCGGGGGGAACATGCCTGAGGGCACCTGGCACTCTCCAGCATTTCACTGAATTTCACTGAATTTTTAGAGTTGGAAGGGATCACAGAGATCATCTAGTCCAACTCCCCTGCTAAAGCAGGACCACCCAGAGCTTGTCAGAGCATGTTACTCAGGAGCATCCAGGCGGGTCTTGAAAATCTCCAAAGAAGGGGACTCCACACCCTCCCTGGGCAGCCTCTGCCAGGGCTCTGTCACCCTCACCGTGAAAAAGTTCTTCCTCATATTCAAGTGGAACCCTTTATGTTCCAACTTGTGCCCGTTGCCCCTTGTCCTCTCACTGGCAACTACTGAAAAGAGTCTGGTTCCCTCCTCCCTCAGCCCGCCCTTGAGATACTTGTCAGCATTAATAAGGTCTCCCCTCAGCCTTCTCTTCTCCAGACTAAAGAGTCCCAGCTCTCTCAGTCTCTCCTCATAAGGGAGATGCTCCAATCCTTGAATCATCTTTGTAGCCCTACGCTGGACTCTTTCTAATAGTTCCCTGTCCCTCTTGAACTGGGGAGCCCAGAACTGGACGCAATATTCCAGTTGTGGCCTCACCAGTGCATTTGTCCCCAAGGGGGCCTGAAGTGCCTGGAGACACCTCCTGTGTGGTGGAGATGTGCGTGAGCATCCTCTGGGTCATGCGTGCACTCAAGAGCACAACTTCACCCAGAGAAGTCCCCGCAGCTCTGGGAACAGGGCGGGCAGGTCATGGCCTGTCCTGGGGAAGAGCCCCGTGCCCAGGGCCGTTGTCTCATAAGGGAGATGCTCCAGTCCTTGAATCATCTTTGTAGCCCTACGCTGGACTCTTTCCAGCAGTTCCCTGTCCCTCTTGAACTGGGGAGCCCAGTACTGGACGCAGTATTCCAGTTGTGGCCTCACCAGTGCGTTTGTCCCCAAGGGGGCCTGAAGTGCCTGGAGACACCTCCTGTGTGGTGGAGATGTGCGTGAGCATCCTCTGGGTGCTCTCGAGAGCACAACTTCACCCAGAGAAGTCCCCACAGCTCTGGGAACAGGGCGGGCAGGTCATGGCCTGTCCTGGGGAAGAGCCCCGTGCCCAGGGCCGTTGTGCTCACCTGTGATGGGCTTCGTGCAGGCGCTGCACTTCTTGGCGTAGAGGTTCCCAAAGCACTTGATGCAGTAGGGGTTGTCGTCCTGGGAGGTGAACTGCTGCCCGGCCAGGGGGGTCTTGCAGCCCGTGCAGACGAAACACTCCTTGTGCCACGGCTCATCCCGGTAAGTCACCCCTCCCTTGGTGAGGGTCTGCGGGCAGAGCACACACGGGTGACACGGGTGACACAGGAACACGAGGGAACAGGCCACAGCGCCAAGGTGCTGGCGCCTGAACCCGTCCCTGGTGGAGCTCAGGGAAGAGTGGGGAACACGTCCCTGGACCAGAGAACACAAGGGTTTTGGGGCTCTCAAATCAGACCTACCTTTTTGCAACGGGTGCAGCGAGGGGCAAACTTGCTCTCGTAACAGGGGACACAGTAATAATCCTTATTGTCGGGGATGAAGGACCGTGACCCGATGGGCTGCTGGCAGCTGCTGCATATGAAGCAGTGCTCGTGCCAGGTTTGCCCGTTGTACTCCAGCTTACGGGACCCTGCAGGGAGAGGTGGTCACTGAGAGGAGGGAGCAGCTCACACGGGGGACGCAGGAGGCTGCATGGGATGGACCGTGGTCCCCCTGCACCCCGCTCTGTGCCTGCCCTCCCCACGGCAGCACCAGGACACAGCACCTGGAGGGGGGAGGCCCAGAGCCACCACCACCACCACCACCAAGGGGAGGCTGCAGGAACATGCCCCAGACCCGCACACAGCCTGCGGCAGAGACGCCTGTTGTAACTCATTTGTAACCTGCATCTGAAGATGGTGCCAGAATGGCCAAGCAAAGACACTCCTTTGCCTCAGGCCATCTCCAGAGACATCACGCATCTTTAGTCATTCCTTCTCTCTTTAGTCATTCCTTCTCTTCTTGTCAGCACACACCAGAAAATGCCCAGGAAACCCTTTGTTATCTCCTCCCTGGCTCACTTCCCCATGAAAAAGGGGAACAGACAGACAGGGCTGTTGTGGTGACCACAGCTCGGGATCTTGCTGCCTTGCCAGACAAGCAGGGTGCCCGTCCCACCCTGTACAGCGTCAGTGGGGCAGGAGAGCAGGAATTCAGCTTTCTCCTCGCTGCCCTGGTGTTGGACCCTGCAGCCCTGGCCGATGCTGCTGGGAAGCAGGGACAAACTGCAGTGCTCGAGTCGGCTCCTACCTGGCATGACCGTCTTCTCGCAGGCGACGCACTTGGAGGAGAACTCGCTGCAGTAGCAGTCATTGCAGAGCAGCTCCTCGCCCTGGCAGGTGAAGGGCTCGTCGGCCAGAGAGCGGTCGCAGCGGAAGCAGCGGAAGCAGTGCTCGTGGTAATGGCGGTCCTCGTAGTACAGCTCCTGGGGGGACAGCCCAGGTGAGGGGGGGACGACCGACGACCCCAAGGAACCCCCCTGCCCGGCCCTGGGGGTCCATACTCACCCTGCAGTCGTGGCCGATCAGCTCCTTGCACTCGTCGCAGGTGTTGGCGAAGTGGGCGTCGTAGCAGGGGATGCAGTAGGGGCCATTGTCCATCTGGATGTACTTGCGCCCATACAAGGACTCCTTGCAGTTGTCACAGTCGAAGCACTCTGTCATGGTGCCAGCCTGAGGGGCTCCTTCACCTGCCAAGGGACCAGGGGAGATGCTGGGTCAGTATCAGCTTACGCCCCCCGAGATGGTCCCACATGGCCCTGCCATCTCCAGAGGACACGGGCGTGAATCCTGCGTTGAGCCAAAGAGGAGAGGGCACGGACCCGAGCTGTGGCACCTGCTCCGGGGCTGTTCCCACTTCCAAAAAAAGTCTGTACACACTCAGGACCTGGCATGAATCTCGCTTTGGGTCAAGTTCAACACTTGGAGCACTTGGGCACCACTCAGAGAACGTAAGCGTGCGGGTGAGCTTCTCCCCGCCTGCCTCCTCGCTGGGAACCAAAGTACAAACAATGACCAAAGGAGAGAAACTTTTTTCCATGGGAAGTTTTGATTTGGCACCGAAAACAGGAGCGTGCACACGCTGGGTGCACATCACTGTCACATCAGAGAGCCAGCCACCCCGAGGGAGATCTCTCTACCAAGCAGCCCTTCCGAGACCCATGCTCAGCCACCAGCACCAACGGTGAGATTCCTCCTGAGGGTCTGTGAGCTGATGCTCTGCCCGAGGGGGCCATCAGAAATCCAAATCCTGGAACTTCTCCAGAACTCTAAAGCAGCCACTCCACAGGGAGGAGGGAATCGGGTACCCCACACCATGCCCAGCTGTGAAACCACATCCCAGCAAACCATTCACTGCTCCAACTACAAACACTCTTCAGGGAGAAAGTGTTGGGAAGGGTGGGTGTTTTACAAGCAACAGAGGTGTTGGGGTTTTGCATGCAGGAGATTGGACATCTCCTGTTGCCTCTTGTCTCCCTCTCAGAGAAGAGGTTGCGGAACTATTTCAATTTCTTTGGAGCACTGGCTCCAGAACAAGAGCATCTTCCTTCTGTTTGGTTTAACCTGGTTATTCCTAAATATGGAGTTTTCCACTCGCAAAAATCACACCCTTCTTTATTACAGGTTGCTCTCAAGTGGAGACAAGCCCACGGAATTACATCTGAGCAGTCAGCGGCAGAGCACCACACGCTGCAGGTCTCCTCCTGAACCCACCCACTTCAGAAAGGGCTATTATGGCTCAGGCTCCAGTTGAGCATTTCGTGGTGCCAGGGGCTCCCCGGCAGCGACGGCGGCTCCCTCCGGGGCAGGAGCAGATCCAGACAGCCCTGACTCACGGCAGCGAGCTCCCCAGGGCTATTCTTGGTCAAGCCACACGGCTCCCAGCTGTTGTCAAGCGTGGTATGCGCCGATAGGGCCGGGGGTGAATAAATCTAGTGTTCCCACATGGCTACGTGACCAACAGAGGGGGAACAAAGTCCCTTTTCAGACGCCGTCGTTTCCCAGCTGCCGCCCGGGCCGTGTCCTGCTCTGCTGGCCGCCGCGTGCCCTGCGCTGGGACGGGGGCTGCGGGGGCTGCGGGGGCTGCGGCAGCTCCACGGCACGTCCCCGTCACCAGCGTGGGCTTTGGGCCACCACTCTGCTGAGCCCGTCCCCCAGAGCCCCAGCCACAGACCTGCCACCTGTGAAACCAGGCAGCCCAGTAGCAATTCCCAGTCTGCTACTGGAGATGAAGCCGACGCTCGGAGGGGGCTCACATGGGGGAGCCAGATGGGTGTCGGGGTGCCAAACTGGATCCCATTCCCCCAGCTCTGCCTGACCCCCAGCACCCCCCTCTGGGGCACCCCATAAGTGCTCACCCAGCCGGGCAGTGGCCCCCACACCCCCAGCGCTTCTCACCCACCGCCGCCGCCTCGGCCTCCCCACTCGCCTCCGCTGCCTGAAGCCACCCGGGACCTTTCTCTCTGGCAAAGAATGAAAATCAAATTAATAACCCTCCTCCTCCTCCTCCCAGCCCCGTTGCAGGGAACTTTCCAAGGTGTGTCTGTAATAAAAGGGCCTCTAACGAGCACTCCTACCCCGGGAGCCGCGGCACCGTCGGAGCAGGGATCTGCCATGTTTGCTCAATGGGTTGCACTTTATCTCAGTAACACGGGGTCAGAGGGACATCAGAAAATAGAAAGAATGAAAAACAACTTGAATGGAGAAGCCTTGGGTTTTACTGGTGACAGGGACTCATCCTCCCGAGCCTGTCCCTGTCCCCAAACTCAAAAGAAGGGACAGCGTTTCCCCGTGTCCCAGGGGCAGGATAAACCCACCAAGGGCCAAAATGCAAAGTTACAGAACACAAAATTGATCCGGTTTTACCTCAAACCAGGACAGGGACTGAACCACCAACTGCCCCAACGAGGCAGGAGCCATTGCCGTCCCTGGCCCCACACGCACCCCTGGGACCCAGGGACCCACAAACCACAGAAGAACCCACGGGAGAGCAGCAAGGGCTTCGGGCCGTGGCGTGGCCACAACAAGCCATGCTTGCCCCTGACTTTGAGCAGTTTTTCCCCAAAGTCTACCAATGTCTGCCGTGCCACGCGAGCCACGTGCGGGCTCTGCGGCGTCCTGAGGCGCTGGCAAACGCCCAGGCAGAGCAAATCCCAGAGCCTGACGTGGCCAAGGCCACGACGGGAGTGTACGGCACCAGACTCCACACTGCCTCTTTCCACAGAGAAAGAGAACAAGCCCCGGAAGTTTGCTCGAGGTTATTTGTTTTAGATAAGCCCCGTTTGCTCTCTTTGTTCCGGGGTGGTGTCAAAGCCCGACAACGTTACACCAAAGCAAACCCCACAGCAAATCCCACGTCTGCGCCCCGAGACACGGCGGGCGCTGCCAGGGACCAAGTCCATGGAAAAAAGGAAGGTGGGAAAACAGAAATGGAGTAAAAAAAATAGCACAAATGCCCAAACAAGTAACGAGGAACCTGGAAATTCTCTCCATTCATGAAGAAAAGAGGCGGAGTTTTAAGATACATTTAAAAAAGCCCTTTAATTGATGCTCAGCTTTAGAAGACACAACCTAGGCAATTGCTATGTGTGCTAATTAGCATGTGCTCATACCTCGCAGCCTGCACCACCCTGTAACCATCAGCTGTGCTAGGCTGATGTAAGTAATGCTTTCAAACACTAACCAAGGCGTAGCCCTAAAACGATTCCAGTTGCAAAGAGGGTGTTTGTTTGCCCATTACCCGGTGGCTGTGGTCCCTGTGGGACAAGGTCCCTTCCACTGGGGACGGTGGAGCTGGACGTGGGGTATTCTCTCAGCTGTTTGCTGGCTGTCTGAGGGCAAAAATAAACCACAGAGATATGCCTGCAGCTGCCTACCCTTTCCCTTCGACAGATATAGTCGTGCTCATGGAGGAAAGGAAGTTCAGTTCCTCTCCTGTGCCCATGAACAAACAGCTTTGGGAACAAGAGCTCCTCTCACAAACAACATTTAAAGTGCTCCAGGATGCAAACCTGATCAGCCTGGAACAGAGCTCGGAATAGCTTCACGTATGAGAAAGGTCAGCAATTTGTCAAGGACGCTCTGCAGGGTCCACTTTCTAATTAGAGAGTAACATGCACCCAACACCACCCCGGTGTCATTGTCCGCAGCAACACAGCAGATGGCTTAGCAACAGCCCCAGGAGATCACTACATTAATTTTAGTGTCGGTAAACTGGGGAGCTGTTATGCAAAGGAGGCAGTACAGGCTGTCCAGGGCCAGCCTTTCCCCTACACACAATCACTTCAGGTTTGAACCAGCCTTTTGAGATGACTCCTGCTACAACGAACTCCTCCTGCAAGAGGTCTCATGCACAACCTCTAACCCTGTGTCACTGCACACCAGGTTGTTGTTCGTTGTCAGGTCACAAGCAGCCGCTCCACAGTGATCCCAGAGCAACCCATAAGGCTATTCCCAAGGAAACACTTCATCTGTCCAGGCCAGAGGAGCAGACCTGACTTCGGTTGTCAGGTTCCTGCCCGTTCTCCTCTTCCCTGGGCTGCTCAGAGCAGGGAACTGCTTGTGTTGTCGCAGGTCACACCTCAACAGAGGAGAAAGCACAACCTTACTGGGACGGGCCAGCATTCCCCATGTAAGGATGAAACCGTCCAGGGACCAGGCTTTGGAAGACAGTCCTCAACGCACTCCAAGGTCAGAGGAGGAGAAGAACGCTTTTTGTTCCTGTTGGCTTTCCAGAACCATTACGGGTCCTGGAATCTGTGTGAAATTGTTTCTGCCTGCCACCGACCCTAAAAGGGAAACCAGCTGCTTGCTCCGAGGAGCAGCTCCAGCCCCTCCATTAGGCTGGGAATGTTTTCAGTCCACGTTTCCCGACACGGCTCCTGCGGATCCACCCAGGGCCACTGCACACCCCGGGCAGGGGCAGCGTGGCCAGCCCTGGCTCTCCGGGGACAGAGGGGATGAGCCCCTGGGGCCAGCTCTGCCTCTCCCTGGGGTGCCACCGGGGTTGCCCGCACATCCCCACGCTGCTGCCTCTCTCTGCACCCCCTGCTCTGCTCCCAGACCCCCATATGGGGCTACAGACCAAGTGTGGTGGGACCAGCATCCCCCATCTGCTGTTGGAAGAGACCCTGCTGCCGGCTGGAGGCAGCTGGTCAGGGAGGTGCCGAGTGCTCCATCGGGGTACCCCAACCTGCACCCCCAGGAATGGTGCTGCATCAAGCCCTCACCCCCTGCTTGCAGCACCACCGAGTCCCATCCTGCCCATGGGTGTCCAAGCCGCCTTCAGCTGCAGCCTCCCACGGGCAGCTGGGACACCCCAATGCAAGGGGGTGCTCGGGGGGCTCTGGCGTGGAGGAACCAATTCCTGAGCACAGCCATGGACCTCACCCAGTGGCTGCCCCATCTCCACAACAGGACATGGCAGGTCACTTCAACACACAGGGGAAGATTTGGCTCCTGCAGTTGGCCTTGTGGGAGGCAGGAGACAAATGAGTCAGTGGGGGCACTGCCAGGTGGCCCCACCAGGATGCTGGGGTGACGGATGTGTGGTGATCAAGCTTCCCTGGGCATGGGCAGAGCAGCCTCCTGCCCCGAGCAGTCCTGGGCTGCCCTGGGATCTGCAGCACCTCCAGCCCAATGCAGTCGTAAGGAAACACCCCACATTTCAAGGGAATAAGGTGCAGCTGGA